ATGCTTCCACAAAGCTTTTCTCTCCTCCTTTCTCTTACCAATACCTCATGGTGCAACTTGACTCTCCCTCCTTTTAGCTGTGTGTTTATCCAAGCGTCTCCACGGGACCGGCTGATGTCACTCTTTACTGCACATCCTGAATTCCCATGCAATCCATCTTCTCACACAATCACACCTTACACACTCATTCACACAGAAACAGCTGGCGAACACAGAAACACATCTCTAAAAGAAGAGGCGTCTAAAGATTTTACTTGAAACAAAGTAAAAAGAAGCATTACATCAGAGATAGAATGAGGAGAAATAATGAAAAGTTATTCTTAACTGGCTCTAAGCAGGTGGGTTTAAAGAAAGTCAGTGTTTCGGCCGTTTTTCAGTTTTCTGGAAGCTTGTTCCAGATTAGAGAAGCACAGAAGTTGAATGCTGCTTCTCCAAGTTTGGTTCTGGTTCTGGGGATGCAGAACAGAATCAGAAGACCTGAGCGGTCTGGAGGGTTGATACAGCATTACTTAATGTCTAATGTATGTTAATGTATTTTGGTGCTAAGCCATTCAGTGAAGTGAAGCATCATTAAGATACTCAAAGTCTAAGGGTTTACACTTTGGAATGGGATTTAATGCACACAAGTACTAAAACATAAAACTTCAGTGGTTTAATAAGCAGCCATCTTTTCAAAAACTTTCTTTAACAGAGAAAAGAATAAACTATGAAGTCTTAATTCAATTATGTGTCAGTGAATTCAATACTTTAAAAACAGAGGCAAGTGAAAAAATAACAGGACAGAAATCTGGAAAAAAATCAAACCCATCTCTGTTTGTTCTTGGCTTTTTTCACGGCATTTTAGTGGATCTGCTTTAGGTAATGCAGACAGGAACATCCAAGGAACGCATCGCTGCTACGGAACATTTGAGTTTATTGTGTGAGCAAAGCATCAGCTGGGGAGCCGTGATGGAATCGCAATGAGAGGTTTGTCCCGGTGTCGGTGCTTTCTGTCCCAGCGGAGCCCACCCGGCTTGGTGCTGAGTCACGTTTACAGCCGGGGTCCAGAGCAGTTACTCAGCTGGTAACTCAGGTGACGACTGTTATGAGCTGGAAGTTCAGCTTTCAGGCCGACTGGTAGGAAACCCTGAAGTCATTCACACTCAGTGTTTCCATTGTCTGCTGTCTGTTTTTCAGCACTAAGGTTCCCCCACAACATCTGCTCACCAAGACATTAGAAAAGCTGCACAATTATTCACATCTGTGTGAGTTACGCTCTGATAGCTGCTATTCAGGTTTTTCTACTGATATAAATTCAGTGCATCCTCTTAAAACAGGATCAATTCAAACAGTTTTTCTGGATCATCACTGTTCTGGTTATGCTGAATATAAATATTGTTTATATACTTTAAAAAAGAGCAGAATGATAAAATCACCCTATTAGTACCTTAAATCAGATGTAAATTAGCTGTAAATAATTTTGTTGTGTTGTACAGAGAAGGAGAATGAAAAGTCACAATAATGTTCCAAATATTTATCCCAAAACCATTCTGTTGACCACATAATTGCACTAATTTGAATTATGAAAATAAATTTGCTTAATGGAAACATGGCAATTTAAAAAAAAACTTCACATTTTTCACTAAAAGGTTTTAGCGTTAGGATGAGGTGTTTTTTCCATCTGTATTGAAATTAGTTTTAATATATAACTAATATTTAGTACTCTCATAGAAACTGGGTAGGAGAAATGCAAACTAAATATAAATCTAGTAAGAGAAAGACAAACGATTAAAGCAACTGAGTTGAAAACATCACATTAGATTGTCAGCGTTTCCAGCAGCTCTGTTATAAAATCTGGATAGAGTTGTTGAACATCCCAGAATATTTATGCTACTTTACTGTGTTTGTGCACCATATGCAGTTGTTTAGTGATTCAGCAGGATGTGAAAGTCCTACATCAGCACTTCCCCTCCTGTCCATTAATGAGGGATTTTCCCCCAAATGCTACGGGCGAATAAATCAACTAATCAGCAACAAACAACAGGAACATTATCTGTAACATGGCAGCCGTCTCCGTGTTTATACCTAAAACAGATGCTCCACTCTCTGCACCGCATGACATCCCAGCCAACATTGAATTACATGCTACCTTTCACCAACATCACTGGATCCTTGTTCGCGTATGGTAATAGGCCACTCTTCGTTGCCATCAGCTGTTTGGTGAATTGGACTCTGTCCCCGCCAGGTAAACTGATTCTCTGCATGATAAGACAACAACCACAGCAAAACAACAGCTCCTTGTGTCCAATTCTGTCTGTAAATCAAATAACTGCTTTCACAGGCCGGGGGGGATAAAATTACCCTCACCGCACACTTCTAGCTGTCAGCTGACCTCTAACTGACGGAACCGTCACCCCGGCTGGTGGACGACAAATCAGAAAAACCAAAACAGGGAAGAGTCCCAATCACATCTCTGCTCACTGTGATCTTGGATTTCATTTGTGGAAACAAGGGACGGCAGTGTCCGCGTTTGACTGAAGTTTCTCCCCGGGAACTTCCCTCCCTGTCGCCTCCAAGACGTCTAAGACTCAGAGTGACTCATCAGGTACGAAGAGTCTGAGCCGTCTCTCACCTCATCTGCATGTCGGAGTTTCTCTGCTGGTCGCTGAGAGATGGATGAGCTCATCAGGAACACAGACTCAGTCGTTTCTTTTCCGCAGACGGCGCTTTAAGTCAGTTATGGCACATTTCAGCAACAAGGCAGTTCAAAGTGATTTACATCAGAAAAATGTCAAACAATAACCAATTATGAAACAAGCAATAAACTTTAGATTTTGTCAAATGCCATCATCAAAATCATCAAGCAAATACACATCAAATATGTTGATCAGTGTTCAATTTACTACCAATCAAAGGCAACTCTAGATGAGGTTTTAGCCTTGATTTAAAGGAACTCATTATTTCAGCTGTTTTGCGGTTTTCTGGGAGTTTGCTTCAGATTTGTGGTACATAGAAGCTGATTGCTGCTTTTCCAGGTTTTCTTCTGGTTCTGGGGATGCAGAGCAGAACCAGAACCAGAAGACCTGAGAGGTCTGGAAGGTTGATACAGCAACAGCAGGTCCTTATTGGTGCTAAGAAGCTGTTCAGTGATTCATAAACTAACAAAACTATTTTAAAGTGTATTTTTTTATCTACAGTGAGCCAGTGTAACACTTGGATGAGTTTCTCTAGATCTTGCTGGGACATTAATCCTCTAATCATGATAGAAGGCCGACTTTGTAACTGTCTTTATGTGACTCTGAAGGCTCAGGTCAGAGTTCAGCTTCTAGTTTCCAGCTGGAATAACTGAAGCTGTGTCTTGACTCTAGATCTTTAACTCTAGATTGTTTCTCTTTAGGCCCAGAGATAACTTGATCTGGAGAAAGTTTTGTCACGCCCACACAGTTATTGTTCTAGAATCTGGTCAGTGATTGGACGGTTCAGTGTCACCTGTCGACATCGTGTTGTAGAGCTGTGTATCGTCTGCGTAACCATGGTAACTAATCTTTGCTGTTATAACCTGAGCTAGTGGTAGCATGTAGATATTAGGAGGGAAACTGAACTTTGATGATCCCCACATGTGACTTCTGCCTGTTCCGATGAGAAGCTACACACAAAGAAATCCCTGATCACTAGGTCAGACTGGAACCGGTCCAGTACTGGACCGGATAGTCCGATCCAGCTCTGCAGTCGCTTCAGTAAAATGTCATGGTCAACACTGAGGTCCAACAGAACCAGAACTGTGGTTCTCCTGCAGTACTGATTGGGACTCAGTCGGTTCTTTTCTGCAGTCGCCGGTTTGGGTCATTCTTAAGCAAGGTGCTTTATTTTAAGACCAAGCTGATCCCGGATCAGTGCTGAGGCTCAAACCTTCTGGCTTCTTGTTCCTGAGTCATCTCTGAAGACAAACGAGGGGAGTAAGGTTGCAACTAAAAACACATGTCTCAGCAGCTCTTTGTGTTCTTCCTTTCTCTGGCATCAGGTCTGGCATTTAATGAGACTAACCACATCCTTATTTACTCTGATAGAAACTCAGATCTCTGTTTCCAATCCAGGCTTTCATCACTTAACTCATCGATAAGAGATGGAGATGGACCGACCCGTACAGATCAGTATCACACACAGATCAGATAGATAAGCATAAAGAAACATTTTCTTCAGCTGGATAATTATACAGTCATACAATACTTCCTGCTACACTGCATCCTCTTACTGCAGCTATTTACACTGATCTAAATTCTAACTTTAAAACAAACGTTTTATCAGGCTGCAGATCAGTTTAATGAAGAACACTTTGCTCTTTGTTAAAGAAAGCCAAATTTTTACATTCGTTCAATTTGTAACCTAATGGATGGTTCTGCCCTCCTGTGGACGTTGCAGTAAATGTCAACGTCTCAGTAACATTAAATGTTTCATTGGTTTCAGCTGAAGGATGAAGTGAACTTTGACCCTTCAGGTTCATTGTGAGACTGGCTACTTCTGGAGATTACCATCCACAATGATACATGATGCATGGATGACATGAATTATGACAACATAACTTCATCTTTTGGGATAAATAAAGTATTTTTGAATCAAATTTATTTGAATATCCTTCAAACTTTGTCTCTAAGGTTTCAGACCTTTTTGAAATCTTTCATTTGGATTATTCACGGTTTCTCAAGGTCTTTCAGCTTTTCTGGACTCTAGCTCAGGGGTGGGCAACTCCAGGCCTCGAGGGCCGGTGTCCTGCAACTTTTAGGTGCATCTCAACTTCAACACACCTGCGTCAAATAATGAGGTCGTTAGCAGGACTCTGGATAACTTGACTGCACTTAGGAAGTGATTCAGCTGTTGGATTCAAGTGTGTTGGATCAGGGAGACAGGACACTGGCCCTGCAGGACCAGGATTGCTCACCCCTGCTCTAGCTGCTCTTCAATCGATTTTCAGATCAGTAATCAAATTTTTATGAATTCAGAGATACCAAGATTCACAAACAGAATCTAATTAAATATAAAATATTCAGTTTAGTTCAGTTCAGCATTGGGGCAACAACATATAACATGTTAAGGGACTTTACAAGACAAATAAGTGCATTTCCTCATACAGTGAGACAGATTCTCACTGTATAACACAGGACCAGATGCAGTAGATCAAACAATGCATTCAAAGATCTGAAGTGAAACGCATCCAGTTATTAACTTTGCAGCAATCCCTCATTCTGAGTCAAGCATGTGGTGACAGTGGAGAGCAACCACCAGCTTTTAACAAACTCATGTTCAGTATGAGCCACAACTAGCTGGAGGATGAGAAAGAGAAAAGCAGGTAGAAGAACTGGAACCAGGAGTACTTTCTATGACAAAGAAAACAAGTGATTCAACAAACCAAAGGGAGCAACAGGTTCTTCAGTGTCTTTGTCCAGAACAGAAACTCTGCTAAACACAGAAGCACTGGCCAGAGGCACGATCTATGGAAAGAAAAACCAAATCAGGATGAACCCCGATCTCACCACTGGGATTCTGCAGGAACAAAGATGGACGGATGGAAAACAAAGAGGACAAAGTTAATGGCAGCTACCGCTATGTCAGTGACAGTCAGAAAGAGCAGAAGCTTCTTAAAGAGACAGGAAATTAAATTGCAAAGTCTAATTCCTTTTTCCCCTTTAATTTCTGCATTTTTGACTTTTCCTTTACAATCACGTGGACTGCCAACAGATTACAATACAAACAGTAAAAGGCTAAATGTAAATCTTTCCATTACGTAATCTCCCACAATTACAACTTACAATAAATGTCATCAAAACTTTAGTTTACCGCAGTGTCCCTCCAGAGTACAGTTATACTGACAACATGATGAAGCAGTTCCACCTTCTTATCCCAACAGTGAAACAAAAACTCATCATTTGAGGCGCTGACATGTTCACTGACAGATATTTAATTTTGAGGGATGAACTAGGATTTTGAGCAGGAGACGGACGTTTGCAGATGTTTTTCTGTTTTGAGAGATTCGCTTACTGCTTTGTAAATAATACTGAAGATGATTCGAGAAAAGCGCCAAAGCCACTGAAAAAAGCTGAAAGACGTATCACTAGTTTTAGAAAACTAAAAGAAAGCTAACTTTTCTTTTAGTTTTCTATTTAAAAGATCCTGGAATGTCTCAGTCTGCTCTGTAAACATAAATCTAACATGTTTGTTTCTTGTTGATTGCAGCAGAAACCAGCCGGTCGCTTGTTTTCAGTCAGCCCATGAAGCCATGCTTCCCAGACGGCTGATCGCAGTTCACCACAGCGCAGCTGCCAAACAGAGACGCTTCCTCACGCCGTGTTTGTCCAAAGCTGTTTCAGCGCCTCCAATTTCTATTTCGGTCTGTTTGGGATACAGATAAACGTGTCTCATGTGTGAAACCAGAACTTTAACTTGTCTGCCGCGGCTCATCACTCGGGTAACAGATTTCCTTCGGTTGAAGAAGAAGCTCAGATAATTAGTTCTTCGTGAACGTCGCTGAAGCTTTAAACCGCAGAGCGAGGAGCATGAGAGCGCTTCTCTTTCAAATGCAGCCAGCATCCGTCTGCAGAGGCTCATCTTTCTCTCAACACGCACCAGCGGGGGTTTCATCCCTCAGCACGTCCGACCCGTCAGCCAACAAAGCTGTTGTTCTAATTGTTATCATTTGTTCCGCGTTAGTTCGGTCCAGTAAACATGAGCATCGTGGTGAGGTTTGCTTGGGAAAATTCCTACCAACCATCTTCACTGTCTGCTGCTGCTGTTGTATTTTAAATTACAAAAGTTTTAAAGATTAACCTCTAATGTATTTGTCTTCTAGATTGTCAGATTTTTCTGTACAGGACTTTCTGTACTGGCTTCAGTCTTACCTAAACAGGATCTTCTTCATGACATGCTGACAGAAATGACATGCGGTGTAATCCAAGGTTCAGTCCCGGGACAGCTCAGATTATAACATGAAATAAGTTTAGTTACCAGCTATGCAGACGATGCACAGCTCTACATGTCACCAGGTGACTCTGAACCATCCAATCACTGAACAGTTGCTCAGAACAGAACTTTCTCCAGATGAACAGAAACAAATCTGAAGTTTTTCTTTGGACCTAAAGAGTAAAGACCCAGAGTCAGCATGCAGCTTCAGTTGTTACACCGGGCAACTAGAGATCAGGCTGAAATCTGGCTGTAGTGATGAACTCTGACCTGAACCTTCACAAGATGGGCCTCCAGGATTGAAGGACTAATGTCCAATCAAGATCTAGAGAAACTCATCCCTGTATTTATGTTGTACACTTTGAACTCTCCTTCATTTACCTGGGTGTCTGTCAGTCTTCTGGGTTTCTAGACGTCCCAGGCCAGCAGGGGACACTCCGCAGCTGCTTTTACCTCAATCTGGCCATAAAAGTTAATTTTAAAACATATTTAAACAACAATCTGATGCAAAAGTGATGAACATTTTTAAATGCTGGAAATTTACTTGAACGTTTATTGTTGCTTTATTGACGTTTCCCCTGATTCTCCAAACTGAGATCACAGTGAGTTGTGTCGCGTACTTACAGTAGTAACTTAAACAACCAGGTAAGATACTGCCTGCTCAGCATTATATCGCACATCCCCACTTGAAAGGAAAAGAAAAAAAGCGGCTACTTTAACAATCCCTTTGTGCAATCCTCCATGAGTTAAACCTCTTATTTTGGTTTACACAACATACACACTTCCCTAAGTGAAACTAAAACATTCGGTCGCATGAACCAAGCTGTTGTTTTTGGGGTTTTCTTCGACCACATGAAGTGTTGCAATGCAGATGAGAGTTTACTGCATGTTTAGAAAATTCATCTCAGAACTGTTTGGACTCATAAATCTCAGCCCTGCCATCCATGTGTGATTATTGGATTTCCTTTTTCCCCTTTGTTTTAGGTGGTTCTGAGCAACCATGATGGATTTGGTCTTTAATTATATTTAGCAAAGGGAAAAATATATTTTAACAGCCATGCATGAAGGAGGAACCATAGAAGTTGAACTTCTGGAAAAACTCACCAAGTCTGTGATGTGACAGAGCAGAGCCCAACAATAAAAGAATGATTTGGTATCTATGGCTGACACGGATTTTATTATTCCCCATCCAATGCTAGAACATGATGAAATGCCACTTGTGATTAATATGTAATTTCCATTTCCGAAGCCAAATTGCTTTTTAAAAAACATGAAATTAAAGAGGAGGTATTTATTGAAAGACATCTGGGATAAAAATTATCTTATTTGGATGATATGCATCTATAAAGATTTTCATATCGGTGTAAATCTTGATTACTTCATCAGATGACACGTGTGTGTATGAATGTTGCTTCTCTTATTTTACCACAATGCTTCAGTTATTTCACACCTACAGCTATATGAACCAAACAGACTGACAAACACTCCACACTAATTCAAATGAAGAAAATATTCATAGGCAGAATTTAAATTTAATTTAATTACTTCTGCTGCTTATGTTTGCTCTGGGAAAACTTTTCATTTATAATGTAGCATATCTGCAAATAAATGCCTTTCTGGATACATATCAGTGGAACAGCTCGGTTGGTTAAAGACTACAGTTTATTTATCTCATTTTATACTCACAAGTTGAAAATATTTTATGCACATTCCCAACAGACGTTGGAATTCCAAGTTGGAAAGTCGTCGGTTTCTCATATTCCATCTGATCTCATCCATAAAAATCCTGCATGGTTACCTTGCTTATAAAACATAAACAGTTGCACAACAATACATAAAAACTCTTTTCTTCCTTTGGAAATAATTGATCACAAAATTTCTTCAAACTTCTAGAAAACTCAGCTGAAGAACCTCCGTTTGAGAACCGGTTCTACTCGGTCCGTTTTCAGTTCAATCCGTTTAGGAGAAACAAATAAGTGGCCACCAGAGCTGAATGGAGATTTGGATTTTTTCTGATGATAAACAGGAATTATCACTGACTTGATGTACCTGAATGCATCAAGGCAGTACCAGTCCATTTTGGACTGGTTGAAGACTCCATGCTGCTGGATTTGGACCTTTGTTGATTTTTTCCTCCAGTACCAAGGATAACCAATACTGGGTTATAACCAGTTATAACCAATACTGGGTTATAACCAGTTATAACCAATACTGGGTTATAACCAATATTTTATAACCAGTTATAACCAATACTGGGTTATCCTTGGATGGGAGTAATTCAATTCAGTGTAAACCCAAAAGCTTTGACCCAAATCATACAGTTAAAAGGTAAAAACTGAGGCAATATATGTAAACTTCTGCATAAAAGTAAAAAACAAAACAAAAAATAAAAATAAAAAAATAAAAAAATGTTCTTGGAAAGTTTTCTGCCATTTATTTAGCAAATATAACTAATTTTAGTAAAAAAAAAAAAAAAAAAAAAAAAAAAAAGCTGATCTTTGGCTTGTTCTTCTGGGCTGATAGAAAAAAATTCGGCGC